CGCAAGCGGTCCGCTGGCGTGGCGATCAGCCGCAAGCAGGTGGGCCGCCGCCACTCTGCCGCCCCGCTGCTGGCATAGCGCGTCGGCTGCGCCGTGAGTTCAGGCATGCACTGCAAGTTGCCCGCCGGCGCAAGCACTGCGTTTTCTTAGACCTGTTTGCCGGCTCGCAAGGAGTCGGGCTGAGACAGGCTGGATACGCTGCTGTTTCGCTCGACAGCCAGATGGGTGTGCATGGCAATCTTCTGGTTCGCACCGTCGAGAAAATGCTGAGGGGCTGGATCGCGTCGGGGGCTGTGCTGGGAGTGTGGCTTGCCACTCCCTGCACTACCTGGTCGCAGGCTTTAAGGCAGCCGCTCCGTTCTTCGTCTAATCCCATGGGCCGTGCTGATCTTTCTCAGTCTCAGCGTGCGCGTCTTGAGGTAGGTAACAGAACCTTTCATGCCACCTGCCGTCTTGTTGACGCCTGTCGCAGGGTTGGGGGTGCCTGTTTTCCTTGAAAATCCCGACAGGTCGCTTATGTGGGAGGCTCCCCGCATGATTGCGCTGAGACGCTCTCGCGACTGTGTCGAAGCCCGTCTTGATCAATGCCAGTTTAAGGCCCCGTGGAAGAAGGCCACGCGAATTGTTGCGTGGGGGAGCGGCCGCCTGTCTCGTCTCTGTCTTCGTTGTAAAGCCAGTGGCCGAATCTGCAGTGAATCAGGAGTGCCGCATCAGGAGTTGGCAGGGCGTGCACCTGGTGGTAGACACTGGACTTCAATCGCCGCCGCGTATCCGAAGCCTCTCTGCCGTGCAATTGCTCGCACCATGATTGACGTTGCCGAATCTTTACGAACTTCTCTGTTGTGGAGCAGGTTTAAACCTTGAGTTTCCTTGTTTCATTGCTTGTGTTTGTTTTCGGCCTGCCGGCCAGGATTACCATTCGAGTTTGGGAATCTCCGATCGCGTCTGGTGGCCTACGCCTTCGCCCTACCGATCGAAGGTTATCGCCTTGGCTCCAGACGCGATAAAACATTGGGAGTCTGCGGTATAAATATCTGGCCGCTTTTAACAAGCAGAAGTGATGTGTTAGCAGATGCATGATCGCCGCATCGACGTCCCGTCGACGTACTTGCTCAAGTCTCCCTCCCTCCCTTTCTCTGCCCTCTTTCGCTTTTCTGCCTTTCCGTGAGGATTCCCTCGCTCGACAGCCATTTGTATGCTGTCGTGTCCTCTGTGAATATGCATTCACGAGCGTCTACTTCGGGAATCTCCGAGCGCGTCTGGTGGCCTACGCCTTCGCCCTACCGATCGAAGGTTATCGCCTTGGCTCCAGACACGATAAAACAGTGTACTGGCGATCTTGGGAGTCTGCGGTCTAAATATCTATATATAGATATATATATATATATATATATGCGTATATAAATAAACACAAATCAGCACATCTGCATTTGCATTGACTATCTAAATCACAATCGTCCTCAGACCATCATGCCCGAATGCATTGACACCAAACAGACCCTGAGACCCGACTACCATCATGCATACCTTAAAACCATAATGCCTCAATGCGCTGAGACCCGACACCAGTATACTCGTATATTCAACCGGCTTATGCCTTTCCGCCGACCCCCAGAAGGCATGAGAGTGTGCGACGGTCGTACAACATATCCAAGTCTTCGGCCCAACCCGCCAACAAGTCTGGACTGTGGGTCCTCCATCCTCGAGGCCCTGCTGCCCCGATCCTCGACCCCCAATCATCGAGGCCCTGCTGCCCCGATCTCCTCGATCCTCGATCCTGGAAGCCCTGCTGCCCCGATCCTCGATCCTCGATCCTTGAGGCCCTGCTGCCCCGAATCTCGATCCTCGAGGCCCTGCTGTCCCGATCCTCGATTCGATCCTGGGGGCCTTGCTGCCCCGATCCTCTGCTCTCGATCCTCGAGGCCTTGCTGCCCCGATCCTCGATCCTCGAGGCCCTGCTGCCCCGATCTCCTCGATCCTCGAGGCCCTGCTGCCCCGATCCTCGATCATCGATCCTTGATCCTCGAGGCCCTGCTGTCCCGATCCTCGATCCTGGGGGCCCTGCTGCCCCGATCCTCGATCCTCGAGGCCCTGCTGCCCCGATCTCCTCGATCCTCGAGGCCCTGCTGCCCCGATCCTCGATCATCGATCCTTGATCCTCGAGGCCCTGCTGTCCCGATCCTCGATCCTGGAGGCCTTGCTGCCCCGATCCTCGATCCTCGAGGCCCTGCTGCCCCGATCTCCTCGATCCTCGAGGCCCTGCTGCCCCGATCCTCGATCATCGATCCTTGATCCTCGAGGCCCTGCTGTCACGATCCTCGATCCTGGAGGCCTTGCTGCCCCGATCATCGATTCCCGATCCTCGAGGCCAAGCAGAGTGGCGTTTACGCGCAACCAGGCAAGACCTCGCTGCTCATTGGCGGTGCAGCAGCTTGCGCAATTGTCGCCACGTTCGTGTGATCCTGAGAGGATCAGCTGAGTGGCGTCACACGCGCACCCAGACGAACCTCGCGGTTCCTTGGGGGTGCTGCCATTTGCGCAGTTGTTGCTACGTTCGTGGGTTCTTGTGGGGTTCAACGGAGAGGCGTCATACGCGCACCAAGACTAGATTTCACGGCTGTTTGGGTTTCGTGGTCGTCGTCGTCGCCTTCGTTGTCGTGTTCGTCGACGTCTCGGTGGTCGTCGTTGTCGTCGCCGTCGGCCGCGTAGTCGTGGTCGTGGTCGTCGCCGTGACCGTGGTCGTTATCGCCGTGGTCGTTGTCATCGTCGTGGTCGTCTTCGTGGTCGTTGTCGTCGCGGTCGTGGTCGTCGTGGTGGTTGTGGTAGTCGTCTCGGTCGTCATCTTTGCAGTTGTGATCGTAGTCGTTGTCGTTGTCGTGGCCTCTCGATCGAGGTGGTCGTCGTAGTCGTCGTGGACGTCGTCGCGGTGGTCGGTGTCGTCGTCGTGGCCGTCGTCATCGTCGTCGTCGTCGGTGTCTTGGCCGTCGTCGGTGTTTTGGTCGTCGACTTGGTCGGCGTCGTCGTCGCTGTCTTCGTGGTCGTGGTCATGGTCGTGATCGTCGTCCGTGGCCGTTGTCGACGTCGACGTGCTCGCGGTTGGCGCTGTCGTCGTTGTCGTGGCCGGGGTCGTCGTCGTCATCGTCGGCGTCGTTGCTGCGGTCGTCGTCGTGGTCATGTTCGTCGTCTTGATCGAGTTCCTGCGCGTAGTCGTGATCGTCGGTGTCGTGGTCGCGGTTGTTGTCGTCGTAGTCGTCGTCGTGGTCGTGGCGTCGGGGTCGTCGTCGTGGACGTCGTCGTGGTTGTGATCGCGGTCGTCTTGGTAGCAGTCGTGGTCGAAGTCGTCGTCGTGGTCGTGGTCGTCGTCTTGGTCTTGGAGTGGTCGTCATCGTGGTCGTCGCTGTGGTCGGTGTCAGAGTCGATGTCATTGTCGTGGTCATGGTCATCGTGGTCGTGGTCGGCGTCATGGTCGTGGTCGTCATTATCGTGCCCGTGGTCGTTGTCGTGGTCGTCGTCGTGGTCGTGGTCGTTGTCGTCGTGGTGGTCGTGGTCGTCGTCGCGGTCGTCATCGCTGGAAGAAATTCATTTTGTGGGAGCAATGGGTTGGTAAAGAGAAGGGGCCGCAGCATCAAAACTGCAATATGTAGAATCTACACATTGCAGATCTGCAATGAGTAGGTTCTACATATTTCATTTTCGATGTTGCGCCCCTTCGTTAAGACGACGATGTTGGTTTCGACGGCGATGAATACGGCGATGGCGAACACGATAGTTACGACGACAATGGCAACACCGATGTAGACAGCGATGGCCCGAACGGTGAAGATGCTTTTGGCGACGCCGACGATGACGAGAGCGTCGCTGATGACACTAACGATGTTGATGTCGAGAGCGACGATGGGCCCGCCCCCAGGCCTTCAAAGGGGTCGGGATTTTTTGGGGCCCCGTCCGCGCCGAGCAACAACAAGCACCTTGGTGAGGGTGAGGCCCGCCGCAATGCACGGATTGACGGTGACCCCAGCCTGGTCCACGCAGTCGATTCGCACAAACGAACAGCAGCAGAGGAGGGGGGGGGAGAAGGAGGAGGAGGAAGAGGAAGAGGAGGAGGAAAAAGAGGAGGAGAGGAGGAGGAGGCGTGCGACGGGGCGCCGCCATTATTTGAGCGATTGCGGTGGCAGGGCCAGCCGGGGCACTTGTTCTTCCAGAGCGTGGACAAGCGGCCAGAGTCGCCGCGGTGCTCGCAGAGGAAGACCCCCCAATACTCCCCGACAACGTGCAGGCCGAACACGTGGAAGCCACACACGTGGTCCGCCCTCCTGCCTCGACCTCCACAAGGTTGGCCCTCCTCTCGGCCACGACACGCGTGCACGACAGCACGCGACCGCCCGAGGCCGAGGGGGGCCAGGACCCCATTGCCCCGCTCCCCGACGCTGCAAGACGATTCAAGAAGCCCCGTGGATCGCCCCAAGACGGCCCAGCGGGCTTCACAATCGCCCCATAACGGGCCCAAGACGATTCCAGAGCTGCCGAGGAGACATTTAAGATTGCCCGGGAGGGCCCCACCAGCGGCTCATTACCGGTAGCGTGAGCCGAGGGATTGAGATTTTCGCCCCAGGGGGCCCCAGACGGCCCCCCAAAAACCCCAAAGAGACTCCTTGAAAAGCCCCGATAGAGGCCCCATTTGTATCAAGTTCGCCTGGCAGCTAGCACGACGACGACTACGACCAGTCGGTCTTCCCCCTACCTCCCCCCTCCTCCCTCCTCCTCTCCCTCCTCCTCCTCCTTCCCATCTTCCTGGGGACTTGATACTGGTGACTTCGGAGTTCCTCCTCCTCCACTTCCTCCTCCTCCTCAAACACCGCCCCCCCCCTCCTCGTCCTCGCCCTCTTCCTTCTCTCCCCCCCCCCCCACACACACACGCGCACCACGTTGCCAGCGGTGGTTCCAGCAGATCCACAACCTGGCGTTCCGTTCGAGGGTGCCGGCTTGGTGCTCGACAACAGGATGGCTTTGACAGGCGACGAACAGCATGATTTCATGGCGGAGTTTCACGCCCGCGATACTGTTTTGTTACAGTACGGCAACATCGTGGACAAGGAGTTCGACGTGGCCCGCGCCGCTTCCATATCATTGGTGCGGGGTGACATCCACACTGGATGAGATTGGGTGCTGGTGCGCTACGAGCCGTTCCGTGAAAACTACGTTCAGCCGAAAGGTGGCGCAGCAGTTGCAGCACTTGCAGAGCAGGCGGCGCTTCCGCAGTTAGCTTCATTCACCGCCATGGTTGGCCCCTTGACATCTACCACTGGAATTTTGGCTTGGCCCTCGATCAAGGCTTCCAGACGAAAGTGATGCACGACCTGGCGATGGACAGCAACGGCAATAACCTCCTTTAAGATGGTGAAGACTCAGACTTCAACGGTCGGTCTGGATCCATCGGCGACGATCTACGGCACCGCCCCGTACGACTGCGCGCTGACTGCCGGCGACTATGTCGACCTTCGCTTCAACATGCTCGACAGCATGGCGCCCTCCTCGAAAGAGATGGCAGCCGCGATCCCCAATCGCGAGGCAGACAACCCCGGTGGCTTGATTGCGCAGAGGATCCAGCTCGGCCGCTACACGAATCTCGGCACGCTCGAGGAATCGGGCAGCATGCCAGCAGAGAGCCAGCGCAAATACGCGCAGGCGCTTCTCTTTAATGGCCAAGACAACTCACGAAGGCGGGCGCGTCCGCAGGTTGGAGGCGCGGCATTCATCTCAACGGCGTCGGTTGTGATCTTGGGCTTCCGAGGGAGAAGAGAGCCCCCCCGCCTCGTCGCGATCCCATCGATCCATCTGCAGCGCTGACGACGGCGGCGGCTTCCGATTCAAACGCGCGCAAAACGCGCGAGCAGCTCGCCGCCAGCCGCGGCGACGGAGGCGGCTCGGCCCGCGCCGAGCTGCGCGCCGACGGGAAGGCGAGGGGGGAAAGGGCCGCCAGGGCAGCGCCCCTGGGGGCTGTCGCCGCGGCCGAGGTGGCCCGCGGCGGCGGCGCCCCGCGGCAGCGGGGGGGCTCGCTCGCGCGGCGACCTGGCGGGTCGCTGGGCTGCCGTAGCAGCGGCGGGCTGGATGGCGCCGCGACGCGTGACGCGGCGGAGGCGAGGGGGGTCGGGACCGCCAGTGCGGCGCCAACTGGGGCCGCCGCCGCGGCCAGCGTGGCCTGCGGCGGCGGCGCGCCGCCATCCCAGCGGCGGGGGTGGAGCTCGCCCACGCAGCAGCCAGGCGGAGAGTTGGGCTGCAGTGGCGATCGCGGCGGCCTGGCTGGCGCCGAGCAGCGCGACGTCGGCGAGGTGGGGGGGGGGGCGCCTGCGCGGCGCCCCCAGGGGCCGCCGCCGCGGCTGTCGCGGCGGCGACGGCGTCCCACGGCGGAGGAGGAGCTCGCCCGCGCGGTGGCCTAGCGGCGCGCTGGGCCGCCGCGGCGGAAGAGGGCTGGCCGGCGCCGAGCTGCGCGCCGCGGCGGTGGAGACGGGGGAGCAGCGCCGCCAGCGCGGCGACCCCAGGGGCCGCTGCCGCGGCCGCCGAGGCCTGCGGCGGCAGCGCTGTGCGCGGCGGAGGCGGCGGCGGCGGCTGCAGCCGCCGGGGGCAGGACGCGCTCGGCGGCAAGGTCGCCTTCCTGCCAGCGGCCTGCCGCGCGGGCGCGGCGCGTGAAGGGGGCGGGGGCGGCGGTGGCGGGCCTGGGCGGCCCGGCCCTCCCCGCCCCGCTGGATCCGCCTCGGCGTCTTGTCGACGCCGCGCGGTGGCCCCCCGCCCGCCCTCTTGGGGCGCCGCGGCCGCCTGGCCCTCGGGCTTGAGCGGCTGGGCTGCACGCGCTGACACTGCGCGTAGTGTCTGCGCGTGCGCCCCGCGGCTTCGGGGCCCTCGTCACCCGTCTGTCGGGCGGCGGCGAGGGCGGGAGTGGGGGGCTCGACGCGCCCCCTCCGTCTCGCGATCGTCGTCCTTCTAACCCCCCCCCGCTCCTGCCCCCTCCTGCTGCTGCTGTTGCTGCTGGTGCCGCTGCTCCTGCTGCTGCCGATGCCGCTGCCCCCCCCCCTCCTCCTCCGCCCCGACGGTGCCCGAGCACTGGCGGCAGTTGCGCAAGTTGCGCAAGTAGTTGCACCCCCCCCCCCAAATGAGCCGCCGGGTCTTGCCTGGTTTCGCGTGGGCGACAACGCCAACCGCGAGCGCGTCGACGTCGACGACGAGCGCGACCGCGAGCGCCGCCCCGACTTCGACGACGACGACGCCGACCACGACGGGGACCACGACGCCGACGACGACCTAGACCACGACGACGACGACCACGACGACGACCACCACCGCGACGACGACCACGACGACTACGACGACCACCTCGACCCCGACGACGACGACAACGACTGCAACGACGGCAACCTAAACGAATACCACAACTTCGACCACGACCACAACCGCGACGACAGCGACCACGACGACGACCACGACGACGACGAAGACCAGGACGATAAAGACCACGACCACGGCGACGACCGCGACCGCGACTACGCCGACGACGACGACGACGACGACAACCACCGAGACGACGACAAACACGAAGACGACGACGACCGCGACGACGACCGCGGGCCCCAGGCAGTTGCGAAGTCTAGTCTTAAGCGCGCGCATGACGCTACTCAGTCGGACCCCGCAGGAGCCCGCGAACGTTGCGACGACTGCGCAAGTGGCAGCGCCGCCAAGGAACCGCGAGGTTTAGTCTGGGTGCGCTTGAGACGTCACTCCGCTGATCCTTACCAGAACACGAACGTGGCGACAGTTGCGCAAGTTGCTGCAGCCCCAACGAGCCGCGCGCATCCCAGCGGGCGCTTCATTGCGGGTCGGCGACTTGGGCGGGCGCGGCATCATGGCAACGTCGACAGCGGTAGACGCGACGTTGATAGTTGCGGTGTTGGCGACGATGTTAACGCCGACGACGGCGCGGCCAGTGCGGGCGCCGATGCTGATCGCGCCGGCGACGATGACGGCGCCCTCGGGTCGGCGATGCAGGTTTTGGGAAGAGTTCGACGCGCGTGCGCGGCCGACGCGCGAGAGTGGCCCGCATGGTTTCATTCGACATGGACCCTGCCCCCCCAGCACGCGCGCCAGGGCGCGCGAATGATGCCGGCATGCGGCGCCACGGGCCGGTTTGGTAGACTTCGATCAAAATGTTGAGAAACCTACGGTTTGTTCAAGAATGTGCCAGTTCGCGAGCGCGTGCTTTATACATATATATATATATATATATAACTGATGTCGCGAAATCATGTGCGCGCTTTCTCGTTCTTCAAACAATTAAGCAAAAAGAGAACTTATTATTTTATTCATGTTTGTGCATTCGGCTTTGAAGCTGCTGCGAAACCGTATGTTTTTGACGGATTGCGGCACGCGCGCGCGACGACGCGCGCGCGCCTTTCGCCCCATATTTGGGGGGCGGGTTTTCGCGACGGCACGCGCGCGCGGGCGTTCGAAAGATTTCCACGCGCTCTCGCGAAGCCCGTGTCGCAGCCTTTTCTGAAAATATTGAAGCCGATGGTTTTCCTCAGAATTCGCAAGAGCGCGCGCGCACTTGTTTTCTCCTGTTGCTTGCTGTGTCTTTTTTTCTTTCCTACCATCGATTTTGAAATCCTTCCGAAACCGAATGTTTTTGAGGAATTTTGGAATGCGCGCGCGACGACGCGCGCGCGCTCACTTCGTCCAGTTTTTGTTGCGCAAGGGTCTTTGAAAGCTTGTGGTTTTTGATGGGCGAGTGCGCGCGCATTATGTGTTTGCGCGGCGTTGCGGGGGGGGGGCGATGCCGGTCTTCTTGGGATGGCGGGGATTCATATTTTGGATGGGCGGCGGGGCAGAACCACATGTAAATTTGCAGTGAGAAAAGGGGGGCGATCGTCCCAGGCGGGGGGGGGCTGGAGATTGGGGGATCGGCCGATGCTCCATTCGAAGTTGTCCACTCCGCTGCTCGCGCAACCATCCCGCCCACCCACCTGAAACGTGGCTTGCGGACCCCATGCGGCGGCGATTGCGACGAGTGCTCGGCGCTGGCGGGTGCATCTGCGGCCGCGACAGCCCGCGCATGCGCGCGCGCAGCGTCAAGTTTGGCGCGACCGACGCGGCCGCGGCGGCGCTGACCGCCAGGCGCATCCCAGCGGGCACTTCACTGCGAGCCGGCGACTTGGGCGGGTGCGGTATCATGGCAACGTCGACGTCGGTAAACGCGGGGATGATAGTTGCGACGCCGACAGCGACAACGGCGCGGCCAGCGACGGCGCGCGCGCTGATCGCGCCGACGACGATGGCGCCCTCGCGTCGGCGATGCAGATTTTGGACGGAGTTCGACGACGCGCGCGCGCCTTTCGCCCCATTTCTGACGAAAGGGTTCTCGCGACGGCACGCGCGCCAGGGCTCCTTGAAAACTTGTTGTTCTTGATGGGCGACTGCGCGCGCGTGTTATTTTTGCACGGCGCGGCGGCGGGGGCGATGCCGGCCTGCTTGGGGCGGCGCGAATGCATGCTCAGGATGGACGGCGGGGCAGAATCACATGCAAATTGCAATGAGAAAAGGGGGTCGATAGTCCCGGGCGGGGGGTGGGTGGAGAGTGGAGAACCAACCAATGCTCCATTCGAAGTTGCCCATTCCACTGCTCGCGCAAACGTGCCGCCTACCCACCTGGCGCATGGCTTGCGAACCCCGTGCGGCGGCGATTGCGACGCGTGCTTGGCGCTGGCTGGTGCATCCCTGCGGCCGCGACAGCCCGCGCGCGCAGCGGCCGGCGAGTTTGGCGCTGCCGACGCGGCCGCGGCGCTGACCGCCAGGCGAATCCCAGCGGGCGCTGCGCTGCGAGTCGGCGACTTGGGCGGGCGCGATATCATGGCAACGTCGATATCGGTAAACGCGGCGATGATAGTTGCGACGCTGACAGCGACGACGGCGCGGCCAGCGACGGCGCGGACGCTGATCGCGCCGACGACGATGACGCGCTCGCGTCGGCGATGCAGATTTTGGAGGGAGTTCGACGACGCGCGCGCGCAGCCGACGCACGGCAGTAGCCCGCGCGGCATTATTTGACGCGGATCGCGCTCCCCCCCCCCCCCCCCCCCGCGCGCAAGGGCGAGCGAATGCTTTCGGCATGCGGCGCCAGGGGCCTGTTTTGCACAATTCCATGGACACGTTGAAAGCCACATGGTTTTCCGTAGGAAGTCGCAAGAGCGCGAGCGCAAGTTTTTTGTTTGAGAACTGTCGTTGCGAAAGCATGTGTTTTCTATATGTCATTGGGGCACTTTTTTTGAAATCGCTGCGACGCCGAAGGTTTTTGACGGATGTCGGCGCGCGCTCTCTTCATTTGTCGCAGAGGATTCTCGCGGCGGCGCGCGCGTAAGGGCGTTTGAACGGTTTCGACGCGCGCTTGCGACGCTTGGTTAGAGCGCGAGAGCGCGTATATATATATATATATATATATATATATATGCGTTGTACTTGTACGGAAATCTCGGCACGCGTTTCGGTGAAGGCCGCTCGTCCTGAGGTCCTCGTTTGCCTCTGGTCTCATCCGTAAACACGGTGGCTCAAAGCAAAGCAGGGCGCCGGGCCTCCCGCATGGCTGGGCCCTTCGCCGTGCGAGTCCTGGAGTGGGCGGGCGGCGTGGCGGGCGCCTACCTGTCGCGGTGCCCCGCTTGCCCCGCGGTGCCCGACTGCCACTGCGCGGCGTGCCCGCCTTGCCCGGCACTGGCTTCGTGCTCGTGCCCGCCGTGCCCGGCGTGCCCGAGCTGCCCGGGCGGGGCCGCCGCGCCGGCAGCGCCGGCCTGGCCCCCGCCGGAGAGCCAGAGCTGCCCCGCGCCGACGGAGGTCGAGCGCGCCGGCGCTCCGGCCTGGGGCGGGCTGGGGCCGGGGTGGTGGTTGGTGCTCGGCGTGGTGCTCGGGTGCCTTCTCGCCGTGCTCGGCCAGGGGGTGGTGCGCGGCGGGCTGAGCTGCGCCAAGCGGCTGACGAAGGGCGAGGATGGCAGCGGCGCCGCCGAGGGCGAGGGAGTGGGCCTTCGTGCTGTACGCCGACGACGAGCACTTGTGGCACCAGAGGCTGATTCTGGGGCTCGTGGGGTTGTCGGATTTTAGTTACGTCGTCCTGACCCCAGACGGCGACGTCTACGCGGAGGACTACGGGGACGACAGCGTGGACGTGGCCGCCGTCCGCTTCTCCGGGGCGTGGGCCGCGGTGCCCGCTGGGGTGCCTCCTGGGCGGGTGTACCGCTTCAGGCAGCAGCCGACAGCTCAGGAGCGGGCGCGGGCGCTGGCTGACGCTCAGGCGGAGGCGCAGGCCGAGTGCCAGCGGATCGCCGCCGCTCGAGGCGATCCGAGGCTGCTGGCGAACCTCGTCTTCCTGCGGCCGCTGCCGGTGCCGGGCGGGGCTCCGGCCGCGCCTCGGGCTGCTCGCATCGGGCCTCTGCAGGGGGCTGCGCCGGGCGCTGCCGCTGGGCCTCCTGTCGCCGAGTGGCGGGCGGCGATGGCGGCCGGGCCCTACCGGTACGGCGACGTCGTGACTGACCACGCGAGGAGCGGGCTGGCCGTCGGCAAGCGGGACATCCACGTACTCCCGGATGGCGTCGGGATCTTCGTCGAGCACGTGGACCCAACCGACGAGGCCGAGTTTTTCGATCGGGCGGTGGCCACGGATGCTCGGATCACACCGATCCGCCGCAACCGCCAGGACAAGCGGGAGCGGACCTGGGCGGAGATGACGGCCGTCCTGAAGCAGGAGAGCTTCGGGGCCGACTGGCAGCTGCCGGGGCCGCGCTCGAGCTTGTGGTGCATAGAGTTCATCAACCAGGAGGGGAGCGGGCTGCTGGGCCACCACGAGCGTTTCAAGACGGCCTGCCGTCTCGACTGGAACTCGTGGGGGGTCTTCGAGCACTTCAACATCTGCCAGGCCCTGACCCAGGGGCTGCTGGTGGACCAGCTGGACGGGAGCAACCTGATCATGGTCGAGTACCAGTTCCGGCGGCTCCAGACGATAGAGTTCGGCCACTCCGAGCGGGCGAGGGAGGCGGAATCGAAGAGCTACCAGGGGAAGATGTCGTTGGAGGAGCAGCACGCGTTCGCTGGGACCACGAGGGCCTCGTCAACGCTCATGATCTGCCCGGACTTGCTGGACTACGTCCGCACCGAGGTGGAGCGGGAGGCGAAGCTGGCCAAGAACCTGAGAGTTGCACGAGAAGAGCGGGAGGCCCTCCGCAAAGGGCCCAAGGAGAAATGACTCCTGACTCGCGCCGGCTGGGCCCTTCAGGGGCGGGGTCCAGCCGCCTGCCGAGCCCCAGGCCGCCCCTCGCTGGTGGCCGCAGTTTTGACGCGGGTGACGACCGCCATGTTCCTCGCGATCTTTTTCCTCTGCCACGTCGGCCAGTCGGCGCCTTCTCCGGGGAGACAGGCGCTGTTAGCCGGTCGGTGCGGCAGCGGGTTGGCGCGCGTGCTGCTGTGGAGCTGGACTGTGACCGAGCGGTGCGCAGCCTCAACGGGATGTTCTCGCATGCGCCTCAGCCGGCTCTTGGCCAGGGCGCGCCAGCCTGTGCTTTCGTCTCGCGCGCGCAGCGCGAGGCCATCGACTTCGTCGAGGAGTCGGCGCGGGCCCTGGGAGCGCCGCCCCCGGGGCTCACCCCCGCAGAGGCTCTTCGGAAGCTTCGCGTGGCGAGCTGGTACGACGTGGACTCTGCCAAGCTCGGATCCTACCGCCCCGACGCGATCTCACTGCCCTCTGGCACGGTTCGGCCGATTCCGCTGGAGACTCTGTGGGGGAGCGGCGGGAGTGACACCGTGAAGGATTTTATATCACAGAATTTGCTGTGCTCCGAGAGGGCGAAGCAGCGACTGCAGGGCGTGGGGCTGGAGCGGGCGTACTCTGACCCAGCCTTGCGGCGTCGGGGTGCGTATGAGGAATTCATTCGTATGTTGCAAGAGCGTGGCCTCGTCGACTTCGCCGAGTCTGGCATCGAGTCCGTCGAGGCCTTCTTCGTGGAGAAGAAAGACCAGAGGCTGCGCATGGTGATAGACTGCCGGAGGGCCAACGCTTGGTTCGCTGAGCCGGCCGGAGTGAGCCTGTGCACGGGCGATGCCCTTTCGAGGTTGGAGCTGGGCCTCAACGACGAGCTCCACATCCAGGGTGCCGACCTCAGCGACGCCTTTTACCACATGGGCTTGCCTGAGGAGCTGAGGGGGTACTTCTCCTTCCGACCCGTGCGCGCCTCGGCGGTTGGCATCAAGCTCCTCGGCGGGAAGCCACTAGGCCGGGGCGCTCTTGTCACGCCGCGCCTGGCCGTGCTGCCGATGGGGTGGAGCTGGGCGCTGTGGTGGTGCCAGCGGGTGCATGAGCGCACCAGCGTCGAGGCCGGCGCCTGCCCCGAGCAGCGGATCGTTGACCGCCGGCCGCCGCCGCCGATGACGCCGGGCGCCCACCTAGAGTACGTCGACAACTTCATCGCGATCGGCACCGACTCCGAGTGGGTGGCGGCGCTCGTGCGGCGCGTGTCTGACGCGCTGCGCGCCCGCGGGCTCGAGGTGAAGGCCGAGGACCATGCTGGCGAGCTGCCTGGTGAGTCGGAGGCGCTGGGGTGGTGCATTGACCGAGGACGGTGCATCGTGCGGCCCACGCGGGCCCGGCTGTGGCGTGCGCGCCTGGCTGTTCGAGGTGTGCTCGGCCGTGGCCGTCTTCGGGGACGCGACCTCGAGAAGCTCCTCGGGCATCTGGTATTTATATCTCTTATCAAGCGCGAGGGCATGTCTTTGTTCTGGAGCTGCTACGCCTTTGTCCGCAAGTGCTATGACAAGGAGACCGGACTTTGGCCTGCTGTCCGGCGTGAGCTGGAGTACTGGGACGGCATCGCGCCCCTCTTGTGGCGCAGCCTCCGTTCGCCTTGGACTGACGAGCTCATCGTGGTCGACGCGAGCGAGTGGGGCATCGGGGCTTGCGCTGCCCCTGCCCCCGCTTCGCTGGTGCAGAGGCTGGGCCACGTCTCCGAGCGCTGGAGGTGGCACCATGGGCTGGCCGGCTCCGCGCCACGCCGGCACGCGGGGGCCGCGGCGGCCGCCGCCGCGCTGGCGGGCGATCCCGCCGACGCTGCGCCGTGGATGCTGGGAGCGGAGGCGGTCGCGGCCGCGGGCTTTCCTCCGCGGCATGCCGGCGGCGACGGGCTGGGGGGGGAGGATTCCGCCCTCCATAGTCACAACCCCCAGACCCAGGCCGCCGGCGCAGCCGAGGGGGCCGCCGGGAGCGCGTTCGACGAGGTGCCGCCGGACGTGATCAAGCTGCCCTGGCGCACCGTGGGGCGCCACCGCTGGCGCTGGCCGGAGGAGAGCATGCCGGTCGCCGAGGCGAGGGCCGTGCTGCACGGGCTCCAGCATCTCGTGAGAGCCTCGCGGCACCGTGGCCGGCGCGTCGTGGTGCTGGGCGACTCTTTGAGCGCGGCCGGGGCCGTGGATCGTTTCAGGAGCAGTTCTTGCAAAATGCTCCGAGTCACTCAGGCCATCGCCGCCGTCACCCTTGTTACTGCCACCACCCTCCACTACCGCTGGCTGCCCTCAGAGTGGAATGCAGCCGACAACCCCTCGAGGGGGCGTTTCTCCCCCTCGACCCCCCAGCCGCTGCTGCCTCGGGCCAAGGCTGGCGCGGCGGGGCCAGGCGCCGCTGGGCCGCCCGGGAAGCCTGCCGATGTTGGCGCGGGCGCGGCCGCCCGCGGCGCCGCCGCGCGCCCAGACGGCCTCGGCGACGCTGACCCGGTCTACGTTCAGGCCTCCGGGGACGTCGAGGCCGCCAGCCGCCGTGCGCGTCGCCGGGGCGCCGCTGCCCTCGGCCCCGGACGCGCCCGCTCGGCGCGCGGCGGCTCAGGCGAGGGGCCCGCGGCGGCGTCCTGCCGCGGCGAGCCCGCCAGCGAGGAAGCGGCGTCGGGTGGCGGCGACTGCGGCGGCGGCGGCGCGCCGGCGCTCCGCGGCCGTGCAGCTGCCGGGCCTGAGCGTGCTGGAGACGGGATCGATCACGGCGGCGACGCGGGCGCAGTACGTGGAGGCTTTCGACGGCTTCCAGGCTTGGATGGCAGAGCGGGGCGTGCAGCCCACGACGCTGGACGACTACGACGAGCAGCTGGTCCTCCGCCTGGACGAGCTCTACCTGGACGGCGAGGGGATCGGGGCCGGGCAGAAGCTCTTCGCGTCGGTGCTCTTCTTCCTGGGGCTGACGAAGGCGGCGGGCTCGCCGATGGCGCGAGCGCGGCGGGCGCTGCGCGGGTTCCGTCGGCTGGCGCCGCCCACCTCGCGGCTCCCGCTCCCCTTCGAGCTGCTGGCCGCGCTGGTAAACTACCTCGTGAGCGTCTCGAAGCTCGAGGCGGCGCTCGTGCTGTGGCTGAGCTTCGAGCTGTACTTGCGCCCAAGCGAGCCGTACCACATCCGGGCCACCGACTTGGTTCGCCCGGCTCGCGGCCGCCTGGGGCACGACAGCTGGAGCGTGACTCTGCACGCCGCCGAGACGGAGGTGCTCTCGAAGACCGCCGAGTACGACGAGGCGCTGAAGCTGGACCTGCCGCGGCAGGAGCTGCTGGGCCCGGCGCTGGAGGCCTCCGTGACCGCGCGGCTCGGCCCCGACTGGCGGAGGCCTCGCCCCGCGGCGGCGCGCGGCGCCGCCGCGGGCGGCCGCGCGAGCGGCGCGGCCCCGGAGCCTCTGCTGTTCGCGATCACGCAGCGCGAGGTCTCGAGCGCCCTCTCGGCCGCCGCCAAGGCCCTCGGGATCGAGAAGTTCCTGCCCGGCCTGCACCCTTACATGCTCAGGCACGGGGGCGCGTCTCACGACTACGGCAGCAAGGCCAGGTCCCTCGTCGACGTCCAGCGCAGAGGCCGGTGGCAGTCGTGGCATTCGGTCCGCCGATACGAGAAAGGCGCTCGCCTGTCGCAGGTGCTGCAGATGGTGCCCGCTGCGATGCAGGACCACGCAGCGCGGTGCGCCGACTCGCTCGGCGAGATCGTGTCTGGCCGGCGCTGCCCATTTACGCCTCCCTGAAGACCCGCTTCTTCCTGGAGGTGTTCAGCGGCTCCGGGCGCCTGGGACGGGCGGTCGCCGCTGAAGGGCTGCCCGTCCTGCTTTGGGACATCTGCCTGGGCCCCGAGTATGACCTGCTGAGCCCGCAGAAGCGTGGGCTGATCCGGTCCTGGGTTCGAAGCGGGCTCGTAATTGGCATCCACATCGGGACGCCCTGCAACACATGGAGCCGTGCGCGGGACATCCCGCCCGGACCGATGCCGCTGCGAAGTGACGCTTTCCCTCTTGGCCTTCCCGACTTGAGCGTGAAAGATCAGGCCAAGGTTGATGCAGGCAACGTTTTCACGATTTTCAGCGCTGGCCTCATGCACGAGGCCATCAGGGCCAACATCCCAGCTAGTAATGAGAATCCCCAGACGAGCCGACTTTGGCTCGCCCCTCCTTTCGTCCGCCTGCTGCGCTCGTCGGCCGTCACTTTCACTATCACGCACTTCTGTCAGTGGGGAGCGCCGTGGCGAAAAGCCACGGCTTTCGCCACAGTCAACCTCGATATGTGTCGCATCGGTCGTGCGTTGTGCAAGTCGTCCAAGAGAGGAATTTGTTCCCGCACTGGCTTGCCGCACGCCCAGCTGCATGGAAAGAACGTGGAGCGCGTCTTTAAAACCAAGCTGGCCGAGGCTTACCCTCAGCGTTTGTGCAACGCCCTCGCCCAAGCCTATAGTAATGCCGTAATATCTCACAGGACTCGTGTTTTTGAGCGGCTGGTCCTACCAGCCAGTTGACATCTTTGGATCGAGTTTCGGGAGTGCATGCAGTGTGTTTCGTCTCATCTGTTGCGTCTCCGGCTTGAGAGTGTGGCCGCCTCTGCAGAGCATCAGATTCGTCCCACACCACGCCTTGCTGGCCATGGAGAAAAAGCAAGGCCCAGAGATGCGTTGTACTTGTACGGAAATCTCGGCACGCGTTTCGGTGAAGGCCGCTCGTCCTGAGGTCCTCGTTTGCCTCTGGTCTCATCCGTAAACACGGTGGCTCAAAGCAACCAACCGTCCAGCCCCGACCACCGCCCTGTTTTTGTTTCTCATCCTCTCGGCTGCCTGAAGGGCCGCTTTCGATCAGGAGTGCATGCAGTGTGTTTCGTCTCATCTGTTGCGTCTCCGGCTTGAGAGTGTGGCCGCCTCTGCAGAGCATCAGATTCGTCCCACACCACGCCTTGCTGGCCATGGAGAAAAAGCAAGGCATATATATATATATATATATATATATATATATGTATATATGTGTGTGTGCGTGTGGTCGCACCCCCCCCACCCACTCAGCGTTGCTGCGCGCGCGTGGCTGCCCTGGCCGCGCGCAACAGCGGGCCGCGTCGGCGACGGCGGCAAGGACGGGGCGGGCTGCGGCGCGCCCCCACTACAAACAGTGCAATGCCTCCCCAGAGGAACTGATGCTCTGCAGTAGGAGAAGATGGACGCTAATGGCTCTGGGCCACGGATAGCTGGCTAACGGCGCGCAGCAGAGGCAAGGGCGCATGGGCGCAGCTGGATTCAACGTGCGAGCGGCGACGGCTGGCCTGGGTTGCATGATATAGGTGTTCTTTAATCGCCGAACAGAGGGCGGCAAGGATGTGTTTTTTGTTCATCAACTACGGCTGCTCTATCTAACTCGTGGCTCTCATTTTGGTCTCTGGCGGTCGAGATGCACGCGTCGGTTGCGACAGTGGCTCTTTTGCCGAAGGAGCCCAGGGTCCCGCGACCGCGCAAACACGGAAGGCGGCAAGGATGTTTGTTTCACCAACTACGATCGTTGCATCTAGCTCGTGGCTCTTCTTTTGGGTCTCTGGTGGTCGAGATGCGCGCGTCGGTTGCGGAAGTGGCTCTTCTGCCGAAGGAATCAATAGTCTCCCGACCAGACATGCGCAAAGGGTGGCAAGGATGTGTTTGTTTCATCAGCTACGGTTGCTCTATCTAGCTCGCTGCTCCCATTTGGGCCCCTGTCGGTCGAGATGCACGCGCCGGAAGAAATCCAAGGTCTCGCGCGCCCGGCGACGCCGATCACGATCGAGATGTCGTCGGGCTTGGGCGCGCCGTGCATTTGCGCGCACTTGATCATCTGGTCGGCCGCGGCGTGCACGTCAGAATCTGCGCCCGTGAGCATGAACTTCAAGGTTTCGTGCGGGGCGTTATCAACGATGCCGTCGGAGCAGCGTGTGACGATGTCCCGCGGGTTCAAATGGGCGGCGCCGTAGTCGGCCCGCCGCACGGAACGTTCCAAATCGTCGCCAGCCCTGCTCACACCAAGCAAAAACGAGACCTGCTTCGGCCCGATCACCTCGCCTGAAGCTGTGGCGATCCGGACGCGGTGTTCTCTGACGATGAATAGCCGCGCGCAACGTCCCGCGAGAGCCGACCTGCGCCGCGCCTGGATGGACGCGTCTTCGATGCGGCAGTGGGTCATCTTGGTGCCAGACGCAGAAAAAAGCCGACCGTGGTTGAACCGCGCAGAGTAGTGGTCTGGATGGCGAGCTGCACGAGCCTCGCCGTTTATGTTCTTGTGGTTTACGTAACTATGTTGTTGGTTGTTTTGCGCGCGTGTGTTATTGTTCGTGCATGCGCGAGCCTCGCCGCCCGCGCCGCAGGAGCGCCCGTGGCCGTGCCCCGCGCGTCGCCGCCGATCTCGCGGACCACCTGAGCGTCGAACTCTCGTTTGTCGCCGGCCCAGCGGAACCGCTGGCGGAGCAAGAAGCGGAGGCGGTTCCGGAGGTCCCAAGAGAGCCCCCCAGGTTTGAAGCGGGGCGCGACTCCGCTTTCCCCGTCGCGCGCAACGCCCGAATTACCCGCCGCCGCCGTCATGTCGGCGCGGGGCTTGTTGAGGAGCGCTTTGGCGGCGCGCCGGGAGGCGAGGCGGGGCGCCATCGACGTTGCTGCCGCGAAGGTTCGTGGAAGCTGCGCCGCGAGTTCTGCGTCGAGGCAGGCTCGGGAAGTTGCAGCAAAAATATTGGCTGGCGCGGAAAGTTGGAGAGGTTTTTTTTTTCGGGTGGGAGGGGGGGGGGGAATGGGGAGGGGGAGTAAGACAATCTAGGTGCGCTCGCGCCATATCTGACATCCTGCCCCTCCCTCCCATCCCTTGCCATGGCGCAGATCCCCTCTCTACTCGCGCAGTCGGATGTCGAGCAGGGCAATGATCCCGAAAGGGTACGCGACGCATTCTAGAGCACGGCATGGCATGGCGTAGACGAGCACCGCGAAGCGCAGTATCAACCTAGCATTTCATTGCATGCCGTGGCATGGCACGGGCAATGACGCCGGCGCTGCAGCGGGAGCACGAGCCGAAACGAGCGGAAGCGCGGAAATGAGGCCAGCGCTGCAGCCGGAGCACGATTCGGAACGAGCGGAAGCACGCCAGAATCGGCCTGGGAGGCTTCCCGGGCGCCAGAAGCAGAAATTCAGCATTTTCGAAAGGACAATGTATATTGGAATGGCCTTTTTTTCGGCGCCGCCTCGGAATTCGATTTTCCGGCGCCAGCCGGAACCGGCTCGGCCCGGGCGCCGGCCCGGGCGCCGGCTCGGGCGTCTGGCCCGGGCGCCGGCTCGGGCGCCAGCCCGGGCGTTGGATCCAACGCCCGGGCGTTGGATCCAAGCTCGGGAGGCCCCCTGGGCGCCGGAAGCAGAAATTGAGCATTTTCAGCGGAAAAATGTATCAGAATGTGGCATTTTTTCGGCGCCGCCTCGGAGCTCGATTTCCCGGCGCCGGCCGGAACCGGCTCCGGGCTGGGCCTGGCCCGGGCGCAGGCTCGGGCGCCGGCGCTGCAAGTAGTCGGCGGAAATTGCGCAGCGGTATTGATCTTTGATCCTTTTCTGAACTCCTGAAGTTCGCGCCCTGCTCACAGGGCGTCTAAACTCCCGCGACTCCGAGCACAGGCGAGGGGGCGCTAGAGCCGAGACGATAACAGGCAAAACGCATACGTAAAACCACAAATGCAATCACAAACTGAAGCTATATAACACAAGGGAATATGGAACAAATATGAAACATCTGCTACCCTGCTGGACTCACTCACTCATGCACAGGCTTGCTCAACCTCGGAATTGCACGGGTAAGGGTCCTCCAAGCTGAGCATCCTTGAGTCCGCCTCCTCGTCTGAACTGCACTCGGTCATGCTCTCATATGGCGGGAAGTCCGGGCACGCAGCTGCACTGATGTGAGCCATTGTCCCGCCTGGCGTCTTGAGAATGCCCGCTCCTACGTGCTCGAACGGCTGGATTCCAGCTACCTTCCTCCTCCGTGCACTCTGGTACTTCTCGTCGTAGACCAGCTTCCAGCGGTGCCCGTTGCTGAAATGTATCCGCAGCTGGCCTGGCTCGTGTCCCTTCGTCAGCGAGTTGGCGAGCTGGGCATCCCCATGCGCCCAGAGCATCCAGTTGTTCGCAGCCTGCGCCCCCTCCTTCAGGGTCATGGCCTCCGCGTCGGTTCGCTTCTCCTTGCCCCGGAAGGAGTAGATTGTCGTCTGCAGCTTGTCATACAGGCCCTTTGAATCCACAACCACTGCTCCTGGCAGTCTGCGTAGAATCCCTTCGGGGTTCCTCCAGTCGATGTTGTTGCCCAGGATCTCCGTCCACTGCACCTTGATGCCACGGAACTGCGGCAACCACGATCCATCTTCCCGGACTTCCAGGATATGAGGCTCACGTCCGCCTCGTCGCCCTTGAGGATCTTCAGAGGTGCCAGCCCTGCCACCAGGCCCTTCGTTGACTTTCCGTCAGGACGGTTGGCCTCGGAGGAGTCGGACCACTCCACTGGCACCAGCACCTGCGCCTGAGAGTGGCTGTGCATCACCGCAGGTAGATCAGCAGACTCACGAACACGATCGACCAAGCGGTTGGTCTCGTTGATGGTCTGCACGGTGGACGAGGGCATGGTGCTGAGCAGGAGGCTCGTGTCGGCCGAGCGCATAGGGCCTGACTGCTCGGACCTCCACCCGATGGCTCCTAAGATAGCCCTCAGCTGGCCCTTCTCTTTGTCGGTGGTCGGCATGTCCTTGGCCTTCTTGCGCTCCGGGGTGAGGTATGCCTTCTCGATGGTCTTCACATACTCGCTCTGGTCCATGCGGAAGCTCCTGTCGGGCTGCTGCTTGACCCGCACCCCCGTCTGCATGAACTCCTCCGACTCCCAGGCTTTCCACTTGAAGCGTTTCTCGATCTGTTCCCGGGCAGTGATCCACCTGGGGTCCGTGTCGTTGCCACCGAGCAGGAAGTCGTCCACGTGCGACCCCGCAATGGCTATGATGTCCATGTCCCCCTTCGCCACGATCAGGTCCCCGAGCACCTCTGGGTTCGTGAAGCCCTTCAGCGCCTCCTTGGTGAAGCCGTTATCCTTGCCGTGAGCGTCACCGTAGGGCACCCGCGCGCAGGGGTCCATCTTCATCTGGGTCCAACCGAACTCTTCCAGTGCCTCACTCACGGTCATGAACCACTCGATCGCTGCTTCCACGAGCCCGTAGACCGCCTTCCTGAGCCGCATCGCAACGCCCTCGGGCATCCCCAGCGCCGCCGCGAGCTCCTTCACAGGCATCACGAACAGGTCATGCTGGATCTCTCTGTTCTGCGTGAAAGCCCCCGTCACGTCCGCTTTGTAGCCCTTGAAGCCCAACCACGCCATCGTCTGCAGCACCAGGTGCCTCGAAGTTCTCGTCATGGTTGGAGCGGTGGTCGGACGGTGCTCGTACTCGGGGTCCATGTAACCCAGGACCACAATCCTCGCCTCCGGCTTCTTCTCGCTCGTGTTCTTGTCCATCTTCCACTCGAGGATCCATCTCATGCGCATGATGTCCTCGGGAGGCGGGGTCACTCCTGGCGGGGGCGTCTCCAGCACCGAAGACACGATATAATTGTTCACCTCCGTGGCCTTTGCTTGGCCAAACTTCGCAACCTCGTCCGGGGTCAACGTCCTCTCCGAGATCTCGCGCTTGCCCTTTCGCAGCTGGCTCGCCATGTAGGTACTCATGTGCCTCGTGGCCTGCCTGAGCGGCTTGCCCTCCAGGGGTACCTCAACGGAGACCTCCAGTGACGTCCCTTGACGAGCCCAAAAGGCTCTGGCGTCTGGAGTGGACTTCGCCATGAGGGCCATGTTCTCTTTCATCTGCTCCTCTGCCAGGGCTGCTCGAGACGCTCGGACTTGGTCGGCTGTTCCTCCTGGGTGGTGTCCTTTCTTGAGTATTTTCTTCCGCGCTGGTGGTGTTGAACGGCTCCTTGAGGCATGGCTTTCTTCTGTGGCTTGTTCTGTGCGGGCCTTCTTCAATGGAGGGGCTGGTTCAAGTAGTCCCTCCCAGGTCGAGATCTCCATGTCGTCCTCGGTGGGGTCGTGGCCAGTGAAGTCCAGGTATTCGTGCTTCATCGTCTGGTTCATGAAGGTGTGGACTGTCCAGGGCGCGTCTTTGCCTCCCATCAGCTCAGCGTGAGCGATCTCCCGCGAGGAGGCTGCCCGGATCTGGCAGAGGTCCACCTTGATGATACGCCCGGCTCGCACCAGCCACACCACGGATCCTGCGCGCCCAGGGTGTAGGGCCCGTCCTTCGCTGAGGTCCCCGTCCACCGGCCGCGCCGTCTCTGTGGCCAGGACCCTCGCGAGCCCTTTGAATCGGCGCTTAGCTTCAACTTTTCTCCTTCCGGAAGTAGCGCACCCACATGCCTGGCACCGCGGACTTCACCGCCTGATTCTTCGCGTTCTCTGCCCTGCTGATGCGTCGCATGTAGACTTGCTTCAGGTACTCCTGCTCGGCCGCATGCATTCTCGCGTAGTTCTCCCCGAACTCCTCGTCGACCCTCTGGGCTTCCACGTAGGGCAGTTCGTCGAAGTCGCTCTCAAAGAAGTGTCCGTCCAGGTCTGGTGCTCGCCCGAGGGCATGTTGAAGGGGTGAGTGTCCTCGAACATCTTCACGTGAGTTCCCAGCTGTGGTCGCTCTGGCCAGGGCTTCCTCCGTCGTCATCTCGGGGTTCTCCGCCACCAACTTGTCCATGGTCCCCTTGGTGGCCTGGATGGCCTCCTCGGCGAGGGAGATGTGCCAATGGGCCTGGCCAGGTATGGGTTCGTACGCGATGCAGTCGGAATCGAAGTACTCAGCCGCCTGCTTGGACATCCAGGATCCCTCTGGGTCCACTTTCACCCTCTGTGGCTTGCCGAAGTAGGGCATCCAGCGCTCCTCGTAGAACTGCTCGAGGTCGGCCCACACAGGATTCCTGTGCCGGTCCTCGCCAACCATGTGGTACAGTAGCTTGCTGACGCGCACCCGGCAGTTCTCGTCTATGATCAGGGAGATCTTGGACTTGACCTTCGTCTGCGGGTGCTCCCATTCAAACTGGTCCGCCTGGATGTGCTTCCACTTCGGCGGGATGGCCTCTAAGCTGACGGGCGGATGTGCGGGCTTGAACTTGTTCGCCTCCTCACAAGCGTCACAATGGAAGTCCTCAGCCACCTGTAGCACCTGTCGGCTGGCGCCCTTCCTGCGAAGTGCGTTCAGCATGGAGGCCTTCGAGCTGTGACCTGAGCCGCGGGGGATCGAGGTGAGCCACCTCGTGATCTGCTGGTACTCCTTCGAGCTCACGTCCGAGTTCATCTCTGTCTCCTCTTGGTTGGCCACCATCGCCTGGTCGGCCGCCTCCCCAGGCTCTACCAAGCACCTCATGAACTCGTGGTAGTGGGGCGCGGCCTCCTCGGTCATCGCGCGAACAGCTCGTCTGGCAAACTCGTCCGGGTAATAGCTGGTGGCCGCTGTAAGATTGCCTCCTGTGAGCTCCCCATGTCGGTGATCTCCTGGGCACTCCAGGGACATCCGGGCTGCCATCTTCGGAGTCGTCGTAGCGATCAGCCACTCCTTCAACAGCGGCAGGCCCTTCCCGTCCTTCACGCCGAGCTGGCAGCCTGCCACCTTCACCACAGTCATGGAGCAGTCCTCCACCATCTTCCTGATCATCGTGTGGCCCCAGCCCTCGCACTTGATGGGCCACTCCCAGTGTACATGCTTGCCTTGAGCCACCTGGTCGCGCACCAGCTGCACCGCGCCCTTGTACTCCTTGATGGCCTGCAACCTGCGCTTCCTGGTGGCCTCGGCCCTGATGGGGTTGGAGCCGTTGAAGCCGAGGGTGAGGTTCGACAGGGGGCCGCGCCTCGTGCTGATCCAAAGGTGGTCTGGTTCGGCCTCATCGCGTGCCTCCCGAGCCCTCTGGTTGCCGCCAGGGGTCCCCAGTTTGAAACCGTTCCACGCACTGATGCGGCATACAGCGTCCTTGCCGAACTTCTCTGCCATCTTCGTGCTCAGGATGGACGTCGGGCTGCACGCGACCTCCATCAACTTGGCACCGCCGTGGGCCATCAGCGCCTCATAGTCTTCTAATTGGCCGCTCTCCTGGGTGCACTTGGCAAGCCAGCGCTGCTTCCTGGGGTCCAGCTCCTTCGTGCAGTTCAAACCTCTGCCAGACCACTCGGACTGGAACCCACTTGTACGAAGCTCCCGGCGTTGGAACTGGCTGAGCTCGCTTGGCCTTCCAGCTGGCCGATCCTCTGGTTGAGCTGGTTCAGCGCCGCCAGCATCTGCTCCTGGACCAAGCGGTTGGACTCCTTCTCCTCCATCTGCACCTTGATCGCAGCCTCGAGCTTCTCCTGCTCCTCGATCTCGTCCTCCATGATCGCGTCTACCGTTCTCCTGCGGGATGACCTCGCGCCCCCTCGAGCCTTGTCCGGCTCCCTCGGGACTTGAGAGTTCAGTCGCAGCGTAGGAAGGCTATGTTGGGGTTGATGGATTTTGATGGCCCCGATGACGTCTATTTTTGATGGCCTGTTTTTCGGCCCACGGTGGGATCGACGAAACCCTGATCGCAAGTTTTTTCGGCATCGGGGCTGCGAAAAAATGTGATCATCCCACGCGCGGGCCCCATCGGGCCGACGACTTTTCGGCATCGTTTCTTGATGGCCTGATGGATGGGCCCCAAGAGCCTGGCCACAGCCCGAATCAAATGCGCGACCCTATCGTAGCATATCCCGTCGACTGCATCGGCCCCAAAACGCGCTCAGAAACGAGGCCCCGCCTGTCACACGGAAGATTACAAATGGCGTTCCCCTGCTCAGAGAGAGGCGTGCGACTGACGAGGACGAGGAGGAGGAGGGGGAGGAGAAGGAGGGGGAGGAGGAGGAGGAGGAGGAGGAGGAGGAGGGAGACGGGGAGTAGGAGGAGGAGGAGGAGGAGGGGGAGGAGGAGGAGGACATAGGTAGACGAACTGGGGGAATGAGCGGGCTGAGGAGTTGCGTATTGGAGACTGCAATGGCGACCCATGCGTTCGACGATGGTACTGATGCTGATGATGACGACGGTGCTGTGTATTGTATGTTTGGGCACAGGGCGGCACGGTGCCGCCTAAGCGTTCTTGGCCTCCTGGGCCTTCTCCAGGATCTGGCGCAAGATCCTGTTGGCCGACACGCCGCGGTCGGCAACCGCGTCCAGCTCCTTCCTGAGGTCGTCCTTCACGGCCTCGGCAGGCTTCTTCAACAACTGCACCAATGCTGCCTCCGAGACCGTCGTGTTTGCACTCACCAGCATCTCCTTGAACCCGCCCACGCACTCCGACAGGGCGCCGCCGAACTCGAACTTTCTGGCCGTCTGGCGGGCCTTGTCCACGGCATCCCTGTACTCGACCAAGGCCACATTGATCGTCTTGCCGAGTTTGTTCTTGAACAACGTCTGCTTGGCGTGGGCCACCACGTCGTCGTACGAGTGGTCCTCGTTCAGGCCTTCTTTCCAGGAAGAACCGTCTGGCATTCCACCCGCCACCGCAGCAATCCTCTCCTGGATCCTCTTGATGGCGCGCATCGTGCCGTCGGTCACGGCCTCCGCGCACTTCATGGCTAGGCCACGGCACTCCGCCACCGAAGCTCCCCACTTCTCGTTGATGCCGTCGATCGTCAGCACGCCGTCGACGGTGACTCCATCAGGGCCATTCGGCGGCGACGCGTCCACCTGGCCCAGTGCAGCCTTCAGCGCGCACCAGGACGCGACACCCTCGTCGCCAGACATCACCTGCGCGTCCACGTCGCCGAGGGCCACCAAGCCCTTCTTCATCTGGATGGCAGTGCAGATCGTCATGATATGGCCGAGGCGAACGTTCAAGCCATTCAGCGCGTCGGTGCGGGAGTCCTCGTGCACGAGCAAGATGCAACTCATCACGGCGTCGGCCTGGTCCTTCATCGTGCTCGCGTCGCTCGGGTCGAAGGTGGCGTCGGGGCTGCAGGACACCAACTTGCACAAGTGGATCGCAGCCACCTCGAAATCCGTCGCCACGCCAGCGCCAGCAAAGACCTCGCCGTTTAAGTCAAGCACCGCCGCCTTCAACTCTGACATCCCCTCGAGCGCCAACCCGTCATCATCCTCGGGCGGGGGGGTGGGGGCGAGGATACCAGAATGCACCCAGGTGGTCCGAATGGCAGGGCCCCAAGGCCCTTGATAAGAACTGGTTTGCTTCATCGGCCACGCTCGTAAGCGCGTGCGTTCGGCGCCGCCCTCAGCCCGCGCGCCGAAGGCAACCCCGAATGCGCGCACATAAGAGCGCGAACCGCTGGGGCCGAGCAGCAACGAGGCCGCGGAACAGTCGGGTCGGGGAGGGGCCGGGGAGAACTGCGCTAGATCATTGCATCGGCCCCGCTGGAGAAAACACGCCAGGACCATGGAACACATGAGCTGGTAAGGCCACTAGAGGCCACACTCTCTTATCAGGGGGTCAAGTGGGTTTCATGTCCTGGACGGGTGTGTAGCGAGGGGTGGGCAACGTCAATTTGCACCCGATCTCATGGGTGCAACTCCGCATGCATTCCAACACCTTCTCGCGCTTCTTCTTGCTGGTGATCGAGGCCGCCACCGCCTCCATCCCCTCCGCGGCGGCCGCCAGCTTGGACACGACCAGGACGCCACTCGCCTTCGTCGACTTGGCGGCCGCCGCCACGTTCGAGATGGCCTCGCAGGCCTGCCTGGCGGACTCCTGGGTCAGGGCAGCGTCGGAATCGTAGTCGCAGGAGGCGACGGCATCGACCCACTCGGCGAAGGCCTCCTCCAAGCTGGACGCGCCACCAGTGCGGCTGCCGTCAACCCACCCCCTCATGCGGCGGGACACCTTCACTATATCTGGGATGTTCCTGGACTTCACAACGCCCACCGCCGCCGCAATCTCTGGGCCGATCTGGAGGTCAGAGAGGGCGTACTCGAGGTACTCTTTGGTCATGGATGCCCACTTCGGGTTGGAATGCAAGCTGTCGGCGAAGAGCTCCCACTCCTTGCTGTGCGTCCCGTTCAACAAAGCCCTGCTGGTAGCACGGTCGGCCATGTTGTCCGTTGCGTTGGGGCTCGGGTCAGAGATCACCAACAGCGCGTCGGCGGCACACTGCAACGTACGAGCGAGATCGATGAACTCCTGTATGGCGCACTCGCCACTAGTGATGGCGTCGCTCTCAATCTTCAAGTGCTTCGCGGCGTCCCTCACGAGCTCGACAGATGCTGAACCTGCGGCGACCACCTCTGCAACGAAGGAAGTGAGAAACATATCGAGGCACACATCGCATTTCTCCTTGTGGCTCAGCCGCAACTGGAACACCCGCGGACGCTTGACCTGGAACTCGACGACCGTGCCAATAGTCTCTGCAGGGGCCCATGGCAGAACCATCTGCACAATGTCCTCGCCAGACTTAGTCTCTGACACGAGCTTCCCGGTGAGCCTGCGCTGGAACGACGTTGCGTCGATGACATCATCAGCGCCGAAGAGGTCGAGCATGTCGTTCCTCTCCTTGACCCCCATCGTGTTCAAGTTGGCGTGGAGGCTCACGGCGGCGTCGACCTTGGCAAGGTGCTTGGTGCGATTGATCTCGATGCCGCGCATCTGGGGCCTGAAGCGGCGGAGGGCGTACGTGCGGTCGCCAACCTTGCCACCATCGAGCATGGTGCTGACGGGCGTCTCCCCGATGAGCTCATCGAGGCGGGCCTTCTCGGAGCACGATGGTGACGCCGAGCCCGCGCGGCCGCCGCCAGGGACGCTCCTGCTGCGGCCAAGATGGGAAACCACCGACGACCTGGCCTTCGTCGACCTGGCGACCTTGGCGGCGACACCTCGGAGCCTGACGGTGGATGCATGCAAGCTCACGTTGTCATGCTGAGCTTCCTCGCCGTCGCTGCTGGAGCCACCTGATCCCTCATCATCGTCGGAACCGCCCACCTCATCCTTGGCAGCAGCGGCGCCGCCTGCAGCGGCGGCCGCAGCGGCAAAGCCTGCAGCTCGCAAGCCACCGCCGCCGCTGCCAGCGGCCCCAGTCTTGACAACCTGATGAGGACCCCAAGACCTCCCACCGAGGGCCCGCGCGACCCCTCCCCCCTGCCCCCCGCCAAAGCCCACCAAAGCCCACGTGGGCCCGAGAGGTTCCCAAGTACGGCCCCATCATTCCCCCCCGCGGCCTTTACTTCTACATCGGTGTGCCCCCCTCAACCTCAACCCCCATCGGCGATGAGGCACCCGACAGCGAACCGCTCTCAAGCAGCAAGCATTACATGGTTGGGCGATTGGCTGCAACCCCCCCTCCACTGAAACCGCGAACGCACCCTGCCCTCCTCCACGGAGGTTGGCGTTGGAAGGAGCTGCAAGGACTTCCAGGGCACTGGGGAGAGGGTTGGCAGGAGGGGTCGCGCGCGACGACGGTGGAGGCCATGACGTCCTCTGACGCCTCTGCATCAGTGGCTGCCGCTCCAACGCCTCGGGCGAGCTTCGCCCCCTTCAGCTGATCCACCAACGAGTCGATGGTGGGCGGCTTGACGTGACCGCGAAGCTCCACGGGCAACGCCTTCACGACCGTGCCCAGCGCCCTTTTTCAACTCTGCCTCTATCTGCGCCTCTGTGAGCGCCGCCCTCCGACTCAAGGTGCAAGCGACCTTCTGGCACTTCACGGTGGTGAACGTCTGCACCTCCACGGCGGGCTTGTCAGGGTGAGCAGCACAGATGCTTTTCAGCTTGGCCTTGGTCAATGGCGCCAAGACCGACTTAGTCGAGATGGCAGCCTCGGCCACCGTGACATTGCCACCAGCCATGGCCTCCAGCGCGTCAGGCTTCAAGCAGATGTAGTTCCCCAGCGAGTGGTAGCCCTGCTCGACGACGATGTTGACTTCGTCCTGGTCGAACGTGGCAGCCGCTGGATTGCCCGAGACCTCCTTCGCCAGCTCGACCTTCTGCTTGTATGCGGCGTCCCCCTTGATCTTGGCGCAGTGCTTGGTCCACGTGATCTCGTCGATGAAGGCGCGCTTGTACGGATCCCAGCAAGCCAAGCACGCGGTGCCGACCCTCTCGACCTCGCCTTGCGCGCTGGGGGCTTCTGGCCACGGGGTCGACAAGCTCGAACGGTGAACGCCGCACTGGCCACACGTCACTGCATCTGATGCTGAAGCAGACTCCTTCTTCTTCTTCCTGGGCGCCGCGGTGACAAGCTCAGCCACCGCCGCTGCGCCATCAGATGCATCCTCCTCCTTCACGCGGGTGTTGCCCCGCTTGCCCATGCCTCCCTGTGCCGAAGGATACCGTAGACCGTAGAAAGTGGCAAGCCTCAACAGTGAACAGCCAGCTGTGACCGTCAAAGGTACAGCTTGTGGCCAAACACGGCTTCGGCAACAAAGATCGGCACGCGGCAAACGCGGGCGCTGCGAGCTCGCCAGGCGACAAACGATTACCACGCAAGCGAAGCGTGGGCCCTCGAAGTCACGTAGGCTCGTCACGGCCTGCCACCGCCTGAGACAACATCACAAGTCGAGGTCTGGGCCTGCGACGGGAAACATGCGCTTGCAACCCGCCATGGGATGCGACCTAAGATCGGGACGCCACGGAACCCAATGCAACGCAGTGCGGCTCACGTGGGCGCGCTTCGCACATCACTCAGATTCCGGCGCCAAGCGCGCCCCGATGCAGTGACACGACCACGCGGTGTTTAGGCGTGGTGCGATGTAACGCGGTGAATGCGATGGTTCGCTAGTGATGGTGCAATCTATGGCACAACACATCCTGGTGCACATGGCATGCAACACACATCAGGGCCCAGCGTGGGACCACCTGGGCAATGGCAGGGCCACGTTGGGCCCACCTTTGCCTTAAGATCGGCTCTTCCATGCACCCCCCCCCCCCTGGAAGGAGCTAACGCCAAAACTGGCTGAGAAACAATCTCGGCCACCTTGCCCCGCAAACAATGTGCAGCTTGGGATCGTCGCCATGCCATATTGGGCCAGCTGGGACCACATTGAGGCTATATTGAGGCCATCGAGGGCCAGCCAGGCACGCCTCGGGCGTGGCGGGTAGCCCCAACGGGCGCGAAGGCAGAGCGAAACGTGCTCCAAGACCGTCCACTCAGCTTTACCCAGGGGGCCGTCGGAGGGAACTGAGCACCACTAGCACTGCCTGAGGGCGAATCTCAGCAACTTTGCCCCGCAAACACTGCACATCTTGGGATCGCATCAGTACCATTTGGGGCCAGCTAGGGCCATGTTGGGGCCCTCTTGGAGCCACGTTGGAGCTACTGGGGCTCGAGACCGACTCTCACTATGAATGTGGGGCGAAACGCATGGTGCGCTGCCACCGAGGGCCCCCGCGCCCCCCCCCAAGGCCCGAGGCCCAGGAGCTCAATAAGAAGCCCCATGGTTGCTGCCGCGCGCCGTCGCGAGCGCCGCCGCTGCAAAGGCCCCCCCCAACAGACGGAGCGGGATTAGGTTGCGAGTGGGAAGGGGGGTGCGAGCTTCCCGTCTACGAGCGGCAATATACGGAATGAGCGGGGCAAGTTCGTAGACGGAGATTTCGCCATCATATTCGGAAGGGGGGGGGGTCGTAGACGAGAGTTTCGCTATCTAGTGGTGGGCGGGCGGGCTCGTAGACAGGAGTTTCGCCATCAATTGGGGTGGCGGGCTCGTAGACGGGAGTTTCGCCATCTACAGTGGTGGGTGGGGTGGGCTCGTAAACGCGAGTTTCGCCACCTACGAAGTGGGCGGGGTGGGCCCGTAGACTGGCATTTCGCCACCTGCGGAACGGGCGGGGTGAACGCGATTATCGGCGCACCCCCAGGGCACCCACATTCGGCCACATACGCTTGAATCGGTCACTCCGCAAACGTCCCAAGGCTTCTCAGCGGCCACCACCCCTCCCCCAGGGCCCCAGGGGGTGGAGCAACAACCCATGGGCACCCAAGGTCCATGCAGTTCGGGGAGGGCGGACGCGAGAACGAAGGGGAGCAGAACACTGGTGCATGACTGATCGCAGGAATGGGCGACAGGCTGGGCTGGCATGGGGATGATGGAAGGGGGGAACGCTGTGCCATCACCATCAACAAGACTGGGAAACGATGGGTGTAGCGGTGAGCAACAGCATCCCTGATACCACACACGCAAAGCACAGCATGGCCCACCGCGCTTGGACTGGATGCTGGGTCCCGAGATGCCGAACCACCGCGCTGAGCAGGAGAATTCCTGAACCCACTGCGCACGGCGATGAGACCACCTTGGCCCATGGCCTTCGGAGGCCCGCGTTTGCACCAACGCGCTGAGACGCAGGAACGGCGGGCCCGTATTCCACGCGCATTGCGATGCCAGCTCAGACGGGGCACCCCCTGCAACAAGAACCTGGACATGTAAAACATGCAATGGCCTTAGAGCACCGCGTGCGCGATCGCGCAGACTGTCGTACAAGTTGCCGCCACGACGGCCCCAGGACACTTAGACGTGCTTGCGAGCACCACAGTAGCCAATGAACGGCGCCGCGCGCCTTCCCGTCGTGACGAGCAGCATATACAACAAAGGAGGCAGGACTGATGAGGAAGAGGCACGAAGGCAAGGTGCGGAATAATGAGGAGGATCTGCGGAGCAGGAAGGGTGGGCGACGAGGAGGATGGGAGGCGGTGGGCGGCGTAAGGATGCAAGGCTCAGAGCACGAGGGGGAGCGATGAGGGCGGGCCCCAGACGGAGAGACCCCCCCCCCCCTCGTCTCCTCATTCGCATTCTCCCTAACCCTCCTCATTCCGAACATCGCCAACCTCCTGGACAGTAAAGCCTGCCCCGTGGCATGTCCCTCTCCAGCCCCTGACGCTTCAGGTCGTAAGACAGGTGGAGGGGTAGCACGCCTGACCGATCGGGTGAACAATGAAGAGGTAAGAGGTAAGCAATGGGGAGGGATACGCGTAGATGGGGATGGCTCGCGAGAGCCTTCGCGGGCAAGGGTCAGACACGTGAGCCAGATGACCGAGAGAGTTCAGGCGAGGCTGATGGGCCATGGCTTACCCCCCCCCATGGTTTTGGGCTCTGGTGTTCAGAATGCCGAGGAGGGAGGGGGGGACTTGGCCGACGGCGCAGAGAGAAACGAATTCCAAGGACGCTCATGATGCTTAGGGCCGATGCCCTGGATATGACCTAGGCGGCTCGCAAGGCTGATGGGTAAGGGGCAGGGTTAGGAAGAGAACGCCTCGGACGTCGCCAGTGAGTCTGAAAAGCTGGCGGTGGTCCTCAGGGGGCCAGTCTGCTTAAAAGACGGCCCAGGGACTGGGGATGCCAACAAAAGCGGCCCAGGGTACTACATATTCAACATGTTCAGGCGGCGGGGGGGGGGACGGAAGGGACACTGGCATAACCATCAAGTTGGCTCAAGGTTTTCTTGGCTTAGCTTGTGCACTCCGCGCAGACGCACAACGATGCAACGGCGTCTCGAGATGGGCTCGAGATGCGCAGCTCGAACTGGGCTCATGATGAGCCACTGGCACGAAACAAACGCAACAAGAACTCTAGAGCACCACAGGCGAAGTAGGCTCTGTATAATGTGTAAGGAGAGCAACAAACAAGCACTCCCAAGAAGTATGGAGTGGGCGCCGATGTCGCCCGAAGCGAAATGGAAACTGCACTGCTTCAGTGAGACGGCGGATCTGACGCTGGCGCGTGCCCGTTGGGGAGGCCCGCTGCCGCCATGTCCACAGGGTAGGTCGGCGTCTGCGGCGCGGACTTCGCCGAGCCTGAGGGCCCCATGTGCCCCAACAGCCCGAAACACGCCGACGGGGCGTCGGACGGGACCTCCTGCTCCACTGACGCATCACGATCGCCGTGCTCTCCTGGCTCAGGCGCTGCTTCTGGTGGGCGATCTCCTGGGTTCGGCTGGTCAGCCGATGGCGCTGGCGGCGGCGCCTCTGAGCCACTGGCACTGGCTGCAGCGTGCGCGCCCGCGAGCAACGACTCCACGTCCGAGAAGGCGGTAAACAAGACCTGACAGGTGGGCGGCTTCGGACGGCAGGCCCTCCACACGCCGCCGACGCGAAGCATTCGGCCTGGCACTGCTGCAGTGTGCTTCACTGTGAACGTGCCAAGGCCTGGGAGCATGATCATGCCCTCGTCGTTCAGCTCCGTGAGCCACGAGACGGCAAGCGACTGCAGCAGCGCCACCGCGGTGACGATGTTGGAGCCCGTCGCCATCGCCATCTTAGCCGCCAGCTCGTGGGGGAGCACTGATTGCTGGCGATACTTGAGAAAGGCCGTGGCCTCAGACTTGCCGCGGAGCGTCTTCCTGGTTCTTGGCATGGCTGAACTCTGAGCTGCGAACTGGTAGGTGGCGGGCCCTCGCGGGCCGATGCGAAACCACGTGCCCGAGCCAAAGATGGCCACGGACCAGAAGGTTCCCACCGAGAACAAATCAACGCAGGCGCTCTGAGGATAAGCACTGGCAGACCCCATAATCATTGCGGTGGCTCCAACATGAGGGTGCCATCTTCCGTGGCACGGCCGCCGATGCGAAACCTCATCGTCCGGATCTCGCCAGCAGGCTTGCTTCGGGAAGCAAATCAACCGAACTGTTATACTGCTCGGCTGGAAACGCTGGCAAGACAAGGACGCAACAACGTAATTATCAGTGCACTCGTGCCGAAGCCTCTGCCAGAGGACAAACGTGCTACGTTTTATGGATTCCATCTCTCATTCAGCAAACTCTGACTGTCACGTGGCACCGCTGTGGGCGGCGAGGAGCCTACATGACCCTAATACCTGCATCGGCGCTTCTGTTGCACAGCGCACTACCCGAAACATGCCCCACAATGCCACCTACACTTGGAAACCGTATGTTGCCACCCTGCGAGAAAATTCACATTATGTGCAACTTGAGGCCATGGTCAGAACAACGGCAACGAAAACCAAACTGGGTCGAGGACGTAATGTCGCCGCGCGAACCTTGGCACTGAGACCTTCGGTGGATGCTTCTATTGGGCCACGGCCTCACGGGCAGACCACCCGAACGGGCGCAATGCAGCTTGGAGCCAGGAGTGTAGCTTGGACCTCGCATGTTCGATATTAGCCCAGTATGGCTCCCCCGCGATGCAACGACCCTTGTGAAAGGCTACCGTGGCCGAGCGGAAACGCGACATCCACTGGAACATTCGGCGGGCCTCACGACGACACCCTGCGGCCTTGAAGGAAGGCATGATTGCCAGAACGCTGTGGCCCGCTAGTGTCGGCCGAATTGAAGTGGAAGGGTGCGTGTATGTGCCTGTGGT